TATTTTAGACTAACTAGACTTTAATAATTACTAATTAAGTATACCATAGTAAATACAAGTAAATAGTAAGTGAGAAAGTATTCCTAAAAGATTAAAGAAATACAGGTATTTATCGGTTAATGTTTAGTTTTAATGATTACTAATGTATAAAGTGTGTTAATAATTATGTGACTGGTATCTCTGAACTGAAATGGATGAAGAAAGTTCGTGAATACAAATAATTTATGATACACAAGCCTTATTACTTTAACGAATAAAGAAAGAATAACTTGATTAAACTTAAAGTTAAAATATACAAGGAAGAAATAAAAAAAAACACAATACTACTTATGTATGAAATTGTTCAAGGATAGGAAAAAGTCATATATTTTGTAATATATTATCAAACAAACAAAAGATTTTATGGAATGGATAGATATAATGCATATAGTTTTACTTGAAATAATTTCAGTTGAATATGCCATCCAGTACTTTCAGGTTTCCACGGTGGTCTAGCTTCAATTGACTCATGATCTCAACTACTGAAATTACTACATATCCATAAAACTCTTTCTGATATAAATATGCTTATGAATGAGGTTCATATGTTCCATGTTTATTTTATCAAATAAACTTGATGAACGAAATAAAGTTGAATGATTTCAATGGTGTTTCATAAATGTGATTGAGAACTTTAGTTTTACATCACAGATTAACCGTAATTATACAACAGTCAAAAAACCAGACAGGACTGGGCACTTGTTTCACCATAGTGTAGGATTCTTCAATATTATGTATTCATTACTGCTGAATAAGAGTAGAATTAGGAACCTTCAGAGCTGAAGATCCAAGTGTAACCTTCAGATTGTAGTGTCGGTTATTATGTTAAGCCCATATACTTTATCTAGCTTTCGGACAGCCCAATCTATTCATTCTACTTGAGTCACATTCTGACCTTGTTATACTTATTCACTTATCAATCTTGACTGTTTTCATATGAGCGCGCAGGTGTGTGTACATTTCTTATCCCATTACTCATCACATGTCTGTAACTTACTTTTGTGTAACTAGAAATATTGATTAAATGGGAGTTGGCTTATCCGCCACCTCCACTCTGCATCGTTTCTCTTCTCTCCATTCCATTCGCTTTATATACAAAATATATGTATTCACGAGTCCATTCTCGTTATTCGACTTATTTAATTCCGTTATTGACTAACGCGATTTAGGTCGATGATTATATCTGAGAATAGGCGATATATATATTTCAATAACAATCATTCATACGGTCGAATTAAAGTCAGAACTCGGGCCAATAAAAGATTACTGGATCGCCACCGAATAACTTTCATTCCTAACTTCAATTAATACGTTATATTTAGAAAACATTATGCATCGTCATTACTAATATTTCATACCCGATGTGAATGGATTCATTTGTCACGGCTCTTCACTGAAATATTTGAGTTATTATTAACTAGGTGTTTCGTATTTATTAAACTGTTACATATTAACTTTTATTCTGGAGGTGGTGAATTGTACGAACACAACTAGTTAGTAAGCTGTTTAATCGTTAATAAATGTTTACTTAATGTTTTCATAGAAAAATCATTAAACTATTGGGTAGTTTAGTAATAATTCATTTATTATTGATTTCCAATTCAATGTATGGTCACTTTATCATTAAGATAAACAAAATATCATCTATATGAATTATCGTTTGTTACTTTATGAACTATGGGTTGGTGAAAATACTCTTCCAAATATCCAGAAAGTTGCGTTCACCAAAAAAGCTCGAAGAGAAATACACTGTAATAAATAATTATCTTTAGTAAACGGATATCCTAAGCCAATTGTGAAAAAATATAATCCCGAATACTGAAGTAAAACAAAAGAATACTAGAATAGGAGAAGTTTTTATTCGATTGTCATCTAAAAGTGATCAAATGATGAATAAAATCATTTAAAGACTATAAGCAGCTTTATAAAGTACATTCTGAGCTGCGAAGTTCATCTCACTATACATAACACTATGATCAATAATACAAAGTAAAGTAGACAAATATCTATCAAATATAACCCCCAACTGCATTCATCAGTTTGCCTGTATATACAAAACCACATATATTAGAGGGACAACGAATAGGCTTTTACTCGATTAAATGGAGATATTTCAAACTATCCTACACCTTCGAGGAGAAATCTAATCACACAGGTCGATAGTGCGTTACCTACTAGACACGGGATATGACGTGAATCTAATGAGCTCGTTCAAAGTTATTTATAAACAACATAATTCCATGTTATTAAAACTCAAAGAAATCATAGCAACCAGAAGGCTTAAAATTAACCTTTGTATTAAAAAAAAGTCTGTGGTTAACTATCAACAGCCTAAACAACATTTAAATCTCTTTTTTCCTCTCAATGAATTGTAATTATAATTTGATCAATTCACATCACAAATCTTCTTTTTATTTAAACTTCTGAAATTTTGTTATGATACACAATATAATTATCTTAATATTCAAAAACTATTACATAAAGTAATTATGAAATAAATCCCACAGATGAATTCTGAAATTATTTCCAATGCTGTAGTAATATTGTTGTTTGTGCTACTGATGTTTACAGGTATAAGTAGTATGTATCACCAATCGAAAATTAAATACTTGAAGATAGAAGGTGAAGAAAACCAAAGAAAAGAGAATGGGAACAAAGAATGATTCATGTGGAAATGAAGGAACAATGAAGTCTGAAACAATTGCTTGACATTTCGAAAACAAAAAATTTGCTGTATATTTCTCAAATTTTATTAAGACATTTTATGTCGAATTACATTTGATTGTCCTTGATTGCATTCTCGTTCACAACAGTATCATCAACCGTTACATTAACGGTAGATCTGAAAGTCTAATTTATAGATCCGCACTTCGTGAATAAGCCATATTATGTTCAAGTTCGAAATGTTTTCTGTCATTTTTAAAACTACTTTCACATTCCTGATAAAATCAATATATTTATAATACCCCAATCAGTAGAAAAATTCAATTTTTTAATGTTTTGTAGCTCTCTGTAAACCAACTCTTTAGAGGATATTTATCATTTTTATTAATATCAGTCTATTCAATGCTCAATTTATTTGAAATTTTTAAGTCAAACCTTGGTAATCATCTCTACATACTTTCAAATTATTCCTCGTGAAGTTGATTACTGTAATAACTCGAATAGAGTATTAGCATATGCTCAATTTAATGGATACTTGTCAACTAGTCATTTAGTGTCATTATGTCCGTAACTACTCACTGTATCGTTAATCCATTTCTCAACAGAACTTATTAAGTATACAATAGATGATTATATTTACATTAAACTATTTGATGGATCATATATGATAAGGCACTTATAAGAAGTGAAAGGGAACAAAAATACTCAATTCTATTATTTCGTTGACATTTTTATTCAAGGGAAGAAATTCATCTGTAATTAATAAGTGATAATAATTAGTATTTTTACAACTGAATAATAATAAAATGAACAATATAATTAGGGTTTACTTATGACTAGTGAATATGTGAAGCTCGAATACTTGAATTAGTTCAAATATCCATGTGTAAAGAATTCATTAACTAGTATATCTACCAAATTAAGGTATAAAAATTATTAAGTGATATTTTCATTTCTCTCTGTGTATCCCAATTATTTTGAGAATAAGTTTACATCATTTATGTGTACATTCAAATAAAAACATTTTGAAAAAGAATTTCATTTTTTCTATTTTTAACAAAACGCGTTTCCACATGAGCACTATCAAACTCATTGAATTAAAAATTCATTAAAATGGAAAGCTGATATAAATACTTTATTAATTCTGTAATGAACGCTACTCATAAGAAGGCTTGTATGTAGCGAATGAAGAGTTTCAGTGCATCAAAAGCACGGCGTTCCCAAAACACTTGGAGGCCAGTCGATAAGACAGTTGAAATTGCAGAACACACCGAAAGATGCAAATGGACGATTGTAGGCTCCCTAAATATGCCTCATGTACATACTTTGTAACTTCTCACAATTAATACACATACCTACTGCCCATTGTCTTGTTTTGAAGTTTTACTTACAAGTTAAACTGAAACAAGCCTATGAAGTAAACAATCATGTACGAACAAAGTATACTTGAATTTTCACTGTTTATTGTACTTTATATAGTGTTAACTTAATTTATTGTTTTATGCATTCAACACTCGAGCATAGTGTTTCATTATATTCATGGTATATGTTAAAAAGAAGGCTAAACTATTCTATATTTTGAATAATTTATTGGTACCTTAAATAATTAGACACACGTCGGTGAGTAAATTCCCAATTAGTTTTTTGAAGTTTTAATAAGACGTAGTGTTTTGCGTCGTTAATTAAGTTGCATGTTAGGGAGTTATCTGCCTATAGCTTAGGATAGTAGATGAATTTCTCATGGATTTGCCCGACAGGAGACTTTCATTACTAGATTTCAATCCTATAAAAAACGATGCGTCGTTTTCAGCACACTACCTGACGATCCAATTTTGGACCTTATGTGAACTGTTGCGGTGCTTCAAACCTGAACAGAAAATGTCGTACATTGCCATTTGGCTTTCAGTAGTTCTCAAATTAATTTTGATTTTTAATGTATACTGTCTTAATATGGTTTATCGTTTATTCCTGCAATCACTGAAAGTAATTTTCAGGTAAACTCTTTGACAGATGAAATGCATTTTCACTTTGTTGTTTTATTTGTTTGGTATAAAATGTTTGTCGTCGCACATGGAGCATAAGATGCGAATACTCAGGCTAAATTGATTTTCAGTATTCAGCTTGACAAACTATAAACTTTTGAACTGAATGCTAAAATCAAAGTAGTTTCGTTTCAATTACCGATAATAAATCACTTGACCATGTTATCCAGATCGCTATCATTCACAAATACTTTAAACGGTATGCAAAGAAAAGATAATAATGAATAATTGTAGCAATGTGTATTATTGACTTACTACTACACCTGCTAGATAATTATGACGATTTAAATTACGTAGTACGGATTTTTTTCTGCCTTGTTTTGATCTAGGATGACGTGGTAATCTTTCATCATTATCATCTACTGAATCATACATTTGTTGTGCTGAATTGTATGACGGATATTTGTTGGTTTGTGCTGTAGATTGATATGACCATGTCTTGTGTAGATTACGTCGTCGTCTATCCGTATATTCATTTTGTAAATAGAATAATTCTGAATCATCTATTTCACTGCCATCCTCTTCTTCATTTTCTTCAGTTTCTTCATCTACATCTTCTTCTTCTCTAACTCTATCGTCTACATTCTCATTAACATTGATTTGATTTTGAAACAGACTAAACATATCAGATAATTGTGTTGTATCATAATTACTTTCTGTAACTTGTGAAGAATACGTTGATCTTTTATAACGATTTTGATTATTCATATCATGTATTGTATCTAAATTAGGATTATCTGTTTCTATTGGTGGAGGTAACATTACATGTACATTTGGAAAACCAAGAAATAATGATGTATATTCTTTAGCTGTACGCAAATTATCAGAACAACCAGCCCAATAAAATTTACTAACTGTTGGTTGACCATCTGTCATTGGTATATTGTTTGATTTAGATGTGTCAATGGAATTCATTAAATGACCATCGGAATTATATACTAATGCATTATTATTATCATTATACAAAGTTTGTGAATGATGTTGTCTAAGTAAATTGTTATTTTTATATATATGAGATGAAGGATAATTTGGTGTAGCATAACTGCCATCTTCATCACCACAAGAACAATATCGAATTTTATTCAATGCACAATATCGTCCAATTTCAAATAATAATACAGAACTTGCAAATGCATGTACAATTGCTTGTTCACGTGTACCTATAATAGTGATTATTTTAATATAAATAGTTATATTGTTAAAAAAGGTAGATAATACAAATGAATTAGCTATATTTTTGCTCCTAAAATGTCACATTTACTTCAGTCAACTATGTTGCTTTGATTTAGTAGCCTGAGTTCAATTTATCTTAGTTGATGTTCTGATCCATTTGTTCAGTTATGACACTAACTGAAAGCAACACTATGTCTACAGGCTCTACAAAGAGATATAAAAAAAAATAACTGATCATAGCTGTAACATTAAAAAATTAAGTAGATCTTCAAAGGGGGGTTCGCATGTGAATTTACAGGATAATATTTGAATAATAAAGTAATTGATGTGTGGTCAGAATATAAATAAAAGTATTATACTTGTAATATTCCACTGGGTAGAAAAATTAGATTTTCTGATGTTTCGTGACTCAGTGTAAGCCACTTCTTCAGAGAATAAATAACTAAATCAAAATTAATCCAAGTTTAAATAGTACAAAGGAAAAAAGCAAAAATATTAGATGCGATCAATCAAAAAATAGGTCTGAACAAGATTTGTCATGAAACATCAGAAAATCTAATTTTTCTACTCACTGGGATATTGCAAATATATTATTTTTATTCATAACAATCTACCCAATGCTCAATTTACTTAAAATTATCAAGTCAAACATTGCTGTCAGATCAGTATTTTTATGATGCGATGGGACCATTAAACTAACTAAATAGTTTTATTTACTAAGTATAATGTTATGGGTGGGATATTTGACGCTTAATAAATAATTGACGATTGAAATAACCAAAGTAACTGTGACTACACGTAATTCAAAGTGGTAAAATAAGAGTTGTGTGCTATGATTGCAGTGCAAAGATCAATTTCGGAAACATTATAACGAATAAATTCATTTTGTATTGTTTGTTCGAATCTTCCCATCGTTGTCTATGACTGCAATTGATCAGTCTCTTATTGGCATATGTGCATCCTGTGCGGATTGCCTTGATATTACCTTAAGTCATAGGCATTATAAGCAAAAATGGATGGTGGCTAGTAGTAGAATCCAGGAGTGAACACCAATTCTAGAATGAAGGTCTATCTAGCTGACGAGTCCCAAACAGGACAAAACGCGTGTCCTGGATTCCATTGTTAACCACCATCCATCTTTGCTTATAATTATGGTGGATGTTTTACGGTTGGTGATAATAAGTCCATTTATGATTGGTAAAAGGATTAACGAACGGCAGTTTGATAAATTATTCGATATGATTCAGTATGGTTAACTAACACCTTTTCAGTGAATGGAATTATTGTCGTAAGTTCCAAAATGAACCGTTATCGAACGATATTATAACTAAAAAACATAAAGGTATTATTTTCTTAAATTGACTTACTAAAATACAAAATATGAACACAAAAATAAATTTGATTCGATAGTAATCGTAAAATAAATATTTAAAAAAATATCGATTTTACATATCACTCTCACACTAATGTAACTAATGTGTCTGTAATATACGAAAATAAAGACATTTTTAGATAGATAGTTGTTATGCGACTGACAAACAGTCGTGTAAGGACTGTTTGAGATGAAAATATCGAGCATAGTAATTAATGGGCTTCAACAGATTGTGCGGATTACATGTTACTTTGTCACTTTAATAACTGGCGAATGGATCTTGTAGACAATATTAAACAAACAACTTGAAGTTAAGATTTCTGCAATTACTTTATATTAGGTATTTTAAATTCTTCAGAGGTATTCTCATAGTAACTAAACGCAAGTTTTTATGAATTGTTTACGGTAAACATTTCCCTCCATAAAATTCGCTTCCTATAAAGTTGAACAGATTCCATGATAACGTTAGGATGAAGAATAAATGAGGTGTAGTTTAGTTTTAAAAAGAATGTAGCTCTGATTTTTTCAGATATCCTCTGCATTATCTAATGCGTTTACTAAATGTGAACATTTTATTTGCTTCATCCCTTATTTTAGTAAGACACAAAAGAAAATAATTTTCAGCTAAATTCTTATCCTATTATAAATTTTACTGACGTATGATACTTATTCCAAATCAGAGTACTTGTAGTTCACTTTACTTTCCATCATATCCGATGAGAGTTTTGTCGATATATCTCTTACATAAACCTCGTTTTTTAACTATCGATTTGGGCATAAGATTTTTTTTACACTTGTTATAAACAAATCAGCTAACAGAGGATTAAACCATAACCTCGTACCAATTCCTTCTCTCTATCGATTTTTTTTACAAAAGCCTAAATGTACATTTCACATTTCATTACAAGTAAGTTCTTTCAAATAAACTATAAGTTTCTCTATATTTATCCAATTCTGTTCGATACATTTGTAAGTACAAGCCATAACTTCCTATAAAAATCAGTGTATAAATAGCAAATTTATATTTAACGGCTAACATTCTATATCATCGATCTACCATTGACTTATTTCCAATTGTATAAATTTTACTTATTACAAAGTCTCAATAGAACTTCAGAAAATTCACCTTGAAGCTAGTACCATGTGAATATGTGAGTTACAGTTGAGTTGTTTATAAAAACGTCTTTTAACTTCTTCCATCGCGAGAACAAGAGTTCCTAATTTTGATTTGGTGAAATGATATATATATATATATATATATATATATATATATATATATATATATGTATATATATGTCGATTGCTTACAATAAAATGTTTGGAGTTATTATACAATATTAAGTTCAATATGATTCAAAACAACTGGATAAATTAAGCCTCTACGTCTTTAACTAATTCATTTTCTATCGTTGTAAGCAAAATAAAAACGAAAAATCACTGACTAGCTGTCTTCCCTGGATGTTTGACCACACTATGTTCAACTTAGTTTATCGATGTCAAATATTACATTTTATTAGCTTACTCATGAAAAATTAGTTTTTTTAAATAAAGCGATTAGTAACGCATTATATTTACCGACAGATTGACTTTTATTTTTTTATTAAGTCATTTGATATTTCGCAAAGAATAAACACTAAATTAACGAAAATAAATTACCTCTTCTTAACTCTGGTGATACATGCGGTAATTGATGTATAGAAGTACAATTCCATCGTCTATCTGAAAATGTTTTTGGACAATGATATCCGACAGCATGTGCAGCTCTAAGTACAGCAAGCATTGCATAACCAAAACGTGGATGCATACAAAATCGTGCTTGTCTTCTACGAAGACCTAATTTATTAGCAGCTTTTTGACATTCATCTGGAGTAAATCGATCAGCTGTCGAATCCACTGGATGATCTGCACTTTTTGGTAATCTGTATATACCTCTGAAATAGTGAAGAAAAAAATGTTGAGTTAAGATTTTCTAGTGTAAACTATGTATTCAACGAAAGAAAAACTGTTAGTATATCTTTATTTATTATTAACATCATTCTGAACATTGTCATACAAATAGGACAAAATCATAATATTAGACAATGAATCTTTTATAAGATAATTGAATATTTCTAACTTACTTTAAAATATATTGCCAAGGTTTAAGTAGATTTATCTGTCTACACGTTATGAACCTGTTATTTTGTTAGAGTATTAAATAACGTTAAGGACAAGCTACTTTTTGATTGAACGACGGAGAAATCAGATACCATTTCATGAGTATATATACATATATATGAGTTCGCGACAGATGCTAGATATTTCAAGCCATATGGTGAGAATTAATGAAGTAACTAATACTGTAAATTTAGATTTTGTTTATAATTGTATATGATTTCAGTTAAACAATCAAGTTATATTACCATTTCTATAGATATACAATCGACCTGGAAATGAGTCAACTTTCATAGTTTTTTTGTTATTTTTATGGAACAAAATAATGTGCCACTTACATATTGAAGGTTAAAAGTGAATTATGATATTGATAAAATAAATATTCTATAATTGTATCGTATTTAAACAATAGTGTTTCTATTATTGAGGTCTAATTTTAAAGTCAGACTTTTTCATCTATTATTACTCACAAAGAACGTAGTTTATGTTACAGATTTCACCAACAAATAAATTGGATTGGTTGTGATTAGACATTAACACCATTGGATGCCGGCTCAGTGGTCTAGTTGGTTAAGCACCTGGCGCGAAACCGATAGGTCCTGGGTTTGAATCTCGTGGGGTGCGGGATGATGGATGCGCATTGCTGAGGAGTTCCATACTAGGACGAAACGGCCGTCCAGTGCTTCCAGGTTTTCCATGGTGGTCTAGCTTCAATTGACTCATGATTTCAATCAAATAAATTGATATCAATCAAAAGAAAAAAAAATCTGAAATATGTCGAAACAGTTTATCTTTCGCTTATAGTCTTGAAAATGTTCAGTTTATTGATCAGTCATTAAAAAGCAACTGGTATGATGACACCTAGTTCTTAGTGTTCATCGATTTCTAATCAACATCCTTACATTACTTGATTTAATTTGGTAGATTACAAAAGTTTCTGGTTTATCTGTTTCCAAATTGTACAAATTTTGCAATAAATGTTCTCATGTATTCAATCTGTTTCAATTTACTTATTGCATACAGTAAATGCAATTATTCATATGCGTACAATCTAACGTGAAGCCAACTACTACGAAATTTGAGTGGAAGAACAACTCTGTTTACTATATTTTTCTATCTCATCTTCCATTTATAGAAATGAAAGGGGATTTCAGTGTAATCGAATGTAATCAAATATATAATGGTATGAAAAATGACGAAGAAGGAGACAAATCGTTCCAAGACGTTCGTGGCTGAAGTGGGACCGAATCAAATGATCACTGGAAAACTTTTCATATATATATATATTTTTAGACCATTTCCAAGTTGGAGATTAGAATTTTTTAACTTTGTATTTCGTGTTGAGAATTCTTTAACTCTGTCCGAACTATAGTATATCTGAAAGAAAAGAAGTAAGACCATTCGAAAGCAATTTAGATACAAACACAATAGAACGAAACTCTAGATTCCTGGCTTTCTGTTGATTGTCTTTAAACATCTAATTTCCAAGAAATTTACAGTAAAATTCTATCCTATTACCTTGTTGAAATTTGTATAATCCGGCTGTTAGCACGATACATTTAAAGAGATAGTTGAGATTGAAAAACAATGAATATTTGAACAAACAATTATTTTCAATAATTTCAACATTAGCCCCTACAATTATAAACTCATAATTATTTTATTTCAATAACCCACATAAGCCATGTGCAAATAAACTGTGAGTAAATTAGGCAAGCTTGTGTGTTTAATTAGTAAACTTTAGCATCGATTACAGATGAAATACGTCCAAAATGTACTGTAAATTTCGAAGGTCATTTAAGAAGAGGGTAGGAAAATTCATTGTAAGGCGTTAAGTTACAATCAGTGTGATAAAATAAGTTGTAAATACAATGAATAATCGGAAAAATGACATGTCCCCCAGAAACGAAAAGATACAACCTGGACCTTCTTGAATTGAGTGAAACCCATTTTATCTAATCTGAAAAGCAAGAGTGACTTCAAGAGAGTTATCATTGTATTCTGGTCATGAAGAAGAAAACGTCCCATACACAGATAAAGTTTAACTGATATTACCCAAAGAAGCATGAGAAACGCTTATTGGATGAAAAACCCACAGGTTGTGGACCATCAAAGTATCTCTTGAAACCAAATAGGCAAAGATTACAATGAATGACATTCAGTGCTGTGGGCCCATTAATTATAGCAACGTAGACGGAAGAGATAAGTTTTATGGGACACTGCAGTTCGTCCTAGAGTAGTGCCCAGAAAAGACATGAACATCTTGATGGGGAACCTAAGTGCCTAGACAGGGATGGATAACAGTGGATATGAATCTAAAATATGTCGACATGGACTAGGAAAGAAAAGTGAGCTTGATGAGAGCCTAACAAATCTATATGATTTCGACAAATTAGTCATAGGTAACAATATTTTCCATCACAAACCCATACAGAGGCTACACGGGACAACACTACAAGGAATTAGATCAGTTACATTAACATGAATAAAACATTTATAATATCCATTGAAGAAGTAAGAAAAAAGACGGGTGCTGATATAACTTCAGATCAATAACTAAGGTCAGATTGAAGCTAAGAAAGCCTAGAGCAGTTGAACAAGCAGTACTACAAATGTTTGCATACAGGCTACCCTAGTGATACTAACAAACTCAGCGAATTCAGTATGGCTTTCAGTAACGAGCTCCAAACCCCACAAAATCTACCAAAAGAGGAAATCATTATAGTGAGAAACTGAAAAGGGATTAAATAAAAAACAACTTCAACATGCTATGAGGTGCTGGACCACAAAAAGGACCAGGATAAACAGTGGATCTCTGCTGATATCGTGGGTAAGATTCAAGAACAGTAGAACGGAAATGCAGTACTCAACGACAGCCGAACGAGAGCAACAAATACCAAGAGACAGGGTCGATACATAGAAGCGAACAAGCGAGTAAAGCGGAGCATTCAAGCTGATGAGCGAAATTATGTGGAAGACCTATCAACGATATCAGAAAAAAGCGCGAAAAAAAGAAATATGAGAGAACTTTATGATATAACGAAAACGGTAGCAGCAAATATGGCATGTTAGAGTGACCAGTCGAGGAAAAGTGGGACAAGTGTGTAGAAGACTTTGAAGGGTTATTGAATAGACCGGCGCTACTGAATTCACCGGACGTCAAAATAACACATTTAGACCATCTTATAGATATCACCGCTCCAAAAGTCGAGGAAGTCAACAAGGTCATCGGACAGATCAATAATACAGAAGCGGCTGGACTTTTAATGTCTAGCTCTACGTAGATTTCGTATGAGTTATTCTAGCTTACGGACAGACTGACTTATTTCGTCTTCTTGAGTCACATTTTGACATTATCAGTTATTCGCTCACTAACCTTGACTACTTTTTATATGAGTGTATGTGTGTTAATCGCTTATTCCACTCATCACATGTCTTTGGTTTATTCTTGTCTGGGTATAAATACTGAGTCACGCTTGAACCGAACAGAAGATCCAATAGACTCCAAATTTCGAGATCTACAGACAAACTTTCGTAAGGATCGATCATGTGAAGACTAAGTCACGACATTTTAGATGATTGTTGTGCAGTCGATTGAATGGAACTTGTCACTACAATTCAACTACCTTGATTATGGGGAAAAAATAATAGTATGAATGAAAAAACTTTGTGGGATCGACTTCGATACCCTAGAGTAGGTGAGAAGGTAGTCACCGTCACACGAAATTCTTGTGCAGGACTGAAATGAAAGTCGTGGAGCTCGTAAATGCATTCCAAGTAAGGACTGGTGTCAGACAAGTTTGTCTCGTCCCTATTTTTCTCTCTTTGTAAGCTGTTGATTGGAACATAAAAACCCCTAAAGCTCAAGAAAGGCACAAAATACATTGGATACCCGGAACTCAGCTTAATGATGTCAGTTTTTAAGGTGACTTAGCCTTTTTCTCTGTACACAGTAACAAATGCATAGGAAGGTAGCTGATGAATCAGCAATTCCTGCAACAGTACGTCTCAACATTAACAAATAAAAAGCAAGAATATGAAGTATAATATAGCTAGCACCGACCCCATCACACTTGATAGGTAAGTTCTAGAAGAGGTGGGAGCTTATACATACCTGTGTAGTATAATTGTTAAACAAAGAGGATCTGACTCAGGTATCAAGGCACGGATTGGCAGAGAAAGGGCAGCAATCCTACAGGTGAAAAACTCAAATCTGCCACTCAACATCAAAGTGAGGATTCTCAAAGTCATGTTAAGTCAGTGCAGATTCACTGAGCTGAAACTTGCCACCACTATCACTAAAAGCACGGGTATTTATAAACAATTGTCTACACAAGATATTTCAGATCTATTTATCATAGACTTAGTAATGACTTACTCTGTCAAAGAACAAACCAGCTGCTAGTTGATGAAATTAGGAAAAGATGCCAACAGTGAATAGGACACTTTACAGAAACCATCAAACTACATCACAAAACAAGCCGTAACTTGTAATTTTCAAAGCAAAATGAAAGAGGCAGATCAAAGGACATGGCCCTGAAAGTTGAACGCAGACATTGAAAGAACAAATAGTACTTGGCAACAAATGGAGAGGAAAGATCAGGACAGAGATGGTTGGAGATTTCTAGTCGGCGGCTTATGCCACAGTAAAGGTAACTGGCCTAAGTGCATAATTTACTTATTGATGGTATTAAGAGAGAAGTTGAGTTTTATATCTGTCGCCATTTATCTATTATATATAAATGTCTTCTTAATTTTAAGTGAACATTACTTCTTT